TTTGTAACAAGGAAACCACACATGATCCTTGTTATGACATGGTCAGAGATCTTGCCTCATCATTGTGGACCACCTGAAGTTTTCCCAGTTTCACACAAAGTACATTTTATGTAAGTTGAATGCCATCATGACTATAGCTAGCATTTCTAGAGAACAAACAGACAATCCTTGTTGTTAAACATCCTCACATCATTAAACAACAACATCATCGCCATCTGTTAATGACTCCAATTTATAATTTGAACAACTTCTTTGGACCATGATGGGGGAAAAAATGGAAGTTGGGTATCATCCTCCTACCAGTTGGAGAACAATCCAAGTGACAGAGCTCCAGGCCTTAGTAACTTTCTAACAGAAGTGGAGAAGGGAGGAGAAGATGCCTTCATTTATAGTAAGAGTCTTCAAAGTTGGCAAGTTTAAGACTTGTGTACTTCAACTCCCAGAATTCCTGAACTAACTAACATGATTGGAGGAGGAATTCTGGGAGTTGAACTCCAGAAGTCTTAAAGCTGTCAAGTTTGAAGACCCCTGATTTATAGTATGTATATATTTATACAGGCAAATTTCATGCATATAAAGTAAGTTTCATGTACTCCATTTGCCATAGTGTCTCAATTATATGATATAGACAATGAGTTTTAGTGTTGATTATAGTTTCGTGGTTGTAATGTTTTGCTTCCCTAATTTATCTTTAAATTAAACTACAAGCCCAGCCTTAGCTTCAAAAACCATTGCAAGAGCAAGATTAGTTTTTGCAAAGCAATTGAACATAACATTTAACAAACACAATGGAAACGTCAGCAATATTAAATATGAGAATAGGCATGTCAGAAATTTATTTTAATGGAGAAATGTTGGAAGTAAATACAACATTGTAAATCAATTGGCATGACTTCATAGCACTTTGTATTTCTACGCTTGCCATGTGATAGCTGATGAAATCAAGCAGAGGAGGCAGGAAAGCACACAATTTAAAGCCTTCACATTTCATTAAATTAAACATTATGAAGAATCATTACAATGCAAAAGGCTACTGTTAGCAGGACTGGCAGACTGTACCATTATCGGCCAGTTGTTGTTTTTGTTTTTAAAAAAATCTCAATTTTGGATTTCATAAAGGCTGAAATGCTTCTATTTCAAATGAAGTTTTGAGTGCCATACCAAATTACAGAAATAATTTGTGGGTTAATCCCATGGTGCATACCACATAGATAAGCCAGCTTTAATCTGAAGTGGGAGACAAAGACAGAGTAGGCATTTTTGAAGGTAACTGAATAAAGTGGAATCATCTTTAGGACATGCTTTCTGTGATTGAAGATGGGGAGATGAGCTAGTAAACATGGCAGTTCTTCTTCCATACCAAATTGGCATATTTTCCTTTTTCAGTCTCATTCCTTCTCTTCATATGCTCCTGCACCTGTCAAAGTGCTGTTAAGAATTATATTCTTTTTCTCCTTTTCTGTGATATCTTTGTCACTGCTTTGCTTTGTTAACTGACACACCTCAGTGTGTTTTGTTACAAACTCCTCCTCACTTATTCTGCTGAGCTCAGATATGGATACAAAACAGCTCTCAGAAGCTAGGTATATTTTATCCTCCTTGCTATTAAAAAGAAGGAAATATTGGCTAAATCATCTCAGGTGCAAGCAAACATGGCCATATTTCCATCTATCTGCTTCCTCCAGCACATAAAAATATGCATAATTAGTTATTGGGTGGTAGTTGCATTTTTAAAAATATCCTGTAAGGCTTTATTTGTCTTTATTTGTTTTAGGTAGTGCTTCACATTTCCTTTTGAGAACAAGATCTCTGATTTTGGACCACATAATTTGTCTGCTAGTAAAGAAAATATCTCTTTCTTAACGTATATAAGATATTTAGGCAGGAATTTTTGAAATTATTTTTGGCCATTAGGTTTTGTGAGAATCAAGATGATGGGAATGGGGGATAAATTCCAAGATTCACCCATGCAATGGAACAGGAAAGACCCTTATTGTTTATTCCAAAATGTTCTTATAAGGTTGACTAGTAGATGCACTATTTAGATGCCAAGGTGCTCTTGCATCATTTCTTTTTATCCAGTTCTAGAAAAGGGATGTGTGACATTTCAGTTTATTTCTGCTCACTATTCCTTAGGCAAGGTGAGAGAAATAGAGTAAATCTTTCTGAACTACCTAGGCACATAAGTCAACAGAATATTTTCAAAAGGTAAAGAAATAACATTAGTAAATATTTAATGAAGATAAAGATAAAAAGAGAAAAGTTAAAAAAAAACAATTGGATAGTACAGAGTTATATATTTTAAAAAGTAAATGTTATATTAGAAAGCTGATCCAGCTAGAAAAATATATATTGGGTTAGACTACCCTAATTAACTATGTTAATTCAAGATTTCTGATCCAACAGTATTTGGTATATTGACCACATTTGGTGCTGTAAATTAACTGGGAATGTACAAGAACAGATATGTGCTACAAAGTGCAGAATGCTATCAATGACATTAATGTTTCCAAATGAGCAAGGTATAGTCAAATAGAACTGAGCATAAATGAGCTGTTTATTTTGGCCAGTGAGGACACATTGGAGCAACAGGGGTAAATGTTATCAATATAATGAGATTGCACATTACAGATCTATATACCCACTAAGAATAAGAGAAGTTTCCAATATATCTGCCCTTGAGAGTTAATTGAAGTGTAATGTAACTAACACCACAACCTCGTAAATAAATAAGTAACCACAAGCATATTTCATACCACCCAGGGGAATTTTCCTCAAATGCTCTTCTCTTCAGAATTATCTTTCATCAAAATGAATATGGATGGGGGGAAAAGAGGACAGAAGATTGTCACTACCCAGCACTACTATCATTTGTATTATTGCTGCATTAAAATATTACTTTTACATTTTGAAATTAGGAATAAATAGCTGACTTTTAATAGTAAGGCTTGCTTAGATATATTATTCACATCAATACATAACTGGAATGAATAAATCATGTTTCATAAATAAATAACACTACTTTTATGTGACCAGTTGTCAAATTGTCATCTTCTTCAACTGGGACGATCTTCTGATTCTTTATGGAAAATGGTAAAACATCTTACTAATTATAGATGAAAGAAACAATTTGGTAAATAATGTAGCAAAGATTGCATAGCATGAATTCATACAAAGACTACAATTTGGTTCACACATCATACTAAGACATAGCTTATATAAACTACAGGTTACGAGCATGGGAATTGCATTCATATAAAAGCCATAATTACAGTTCAGCATGATATATGAATTTATTAGCACAAATAATGGATTAATTTATGATCTATCATAGAACTTTGCAGCTGTCAAACAAAAAGTTTGCTATACAAACAAAATGAGACAGGTACAGATGGTCACCCTGAGGTCAATCTTTTCTAACCTGATGTTCTGCAGAAGTTGGAGACTACAACACCCAGTATTTTGAATCATAATAGAGAAGGTTGGTTAAGATGATTGTGAATGAACCTGAGACTTGTGGCTTGCTTTCTCTCCTCCAGGAAGTAGAAGGAATACTTCTGTTTTGACTTTATGACTTACGGATTTTCCAGTTCTGTAAGTTCCAACAAAAGAGACTAGTATAAGTGCTCAAAGATGAACTGAATGGCTGCTATGAAGATAAATTGCTTGATAGTGTTATTTGCATTAGTTACAGACATTTTTAAAAAGCTTTCTCAGCCTAAGTAAAATCATTTTCTTTTTTTTAAAGTCATAGATTTGTCATCTTTGCTCTTAAATTTTTAGATTTTTATGAAATAGCTGCACATAGTGAAGATGAATTTCGATTGCAGTGGTTAATTTTTTTATAATACTAGAGTTTATTATCTGCATTGTTTTGGATTTTACTGATTTTTTATTGTGTTATTTGGATTTTATGATTTTAAGATTTGTTTTAAAATAGATATGTCACACAAAGAACTATTTTATGTGGATATTAAAGATTAAACAAATAATTCTCCTGATATGATTTATTAGCTTTTTGTAGATAAAAATCACATACCACCAAATGAAAATTGCAATTTGTTCTAAAATAAAGAAAAAAGAAAAAACCCCTTCCTTTCCTCATACATAAAAGAGAAGAAGAAAGGGAGGGAGGATATGCGACTACAAGGTTTACAAAAGCACGTTCTGTAAGCTATAGCTAGTAGCCAAGAGGGAAGCAACTGAAGCAAAAACTAGAATGCTTTCCTAAAGTAATAAGGTTTAGTAAAATTTCAAAAATTGTTAAAGAGAGTGTCCTTCCCCCTTTTGTTTTATAAATTTTTTTAAGTTTCTTCAAAGATTGATGTATCTTGTATAAAGCAAGACAAATAGAAAATAAGACTTTGAAAATTACACTCACTCACTCTCACACACACACTGAATTATATATCTTTAATTGTTATTTATATATCAAATGTATGGTATGCTGACCTTTGAATATTGATAATATATTTTATACAGGTAGTCTCTGGCTTATGACTACAATTTGGGATATAATTTCAATAAGTGATGTGGTCATTAAATGAGCTGGACCCAATTTTATGATTAGTTTACTGTAATCATTAAGTGAATCTCTGCAGTTGTTAAGCAAACCATGTGGTCATTAAGTGGCTCAGATAGTCATTAAACAAATTTGGCTTCCCCAATTGACTTTCCTTGTCAGAAGCCATCTGGGAAGATTGCAAATTGTGATTACCTAAACACAAGTTGTTGCAGCTGTTATAAATGCAAACTGGTTGCCAAGTGCCTGAATTGTGATCTTGTAACCATGGGGATGGTAACAATAGTTACTTCAAGACTGGGTCATAAGTCACTTTTCCCAAGGCTATTGTAGGAACTCTCATTAACTAAACAGTCATAAGTCAAGGACTATTTGTAATAGCATTTGAGCTACATTTAGACCTGCAGTTTAGCACATTTGGAAGGGAACGGAATATATATTATTGTCTCTAAGTCTGTTTTTGTTCTTGATTTTTCAGGTCACCTGTGCAAATTTAAGCAGTGGTGGCAAATCAGAACTTCTAAAAGCAGGCAGTTCCAAATCCATACTAAAGCATATATGGACAGAAAGCAGCAAAGACTTATCAATCAGCCGGCTGCTGTCACAGACTTTTCGCAGAAAAGAAAATGAAACAGATTTGAGTATGCGGTATGATGCTCCTGAAACTTATTCGGAGCAAGATCTATGGGAGTGGCTGAGGAACTCCACGGATCTTCAAGAGCCTCGATCCAGAGCCAAGCGACGGCCCATTGTCAAGACTGGGAAATTTAAGAAAATGTTTGGCTGGGGCGATTTTCATTCCAATATCAAGACAGTCAAGCTAAACCTGTTGATAACTGGGAAAATAGTTGATCATGGAAACGGGACTTTCAGTGTTTACTTTAGGCATAATTCAACTGGCCAAGGGAATGTATCAGTGAGCTTGGTGCCCCCAACCAAAATAGTAGAATTTGACTTGGCACAACAAACAGTGATTGATGCCAAAGATTCCAAGTCCTTCAACTGCCGTATTGAGTATGAAAAGGTTGACAAAGCCACCAAGAACACGCTCTGCAACTATGATCCTTCTAAAACATGTTACCAGGAGCAAACCCAAAGTCACGTCTCATGGCTCTGCTCCAAGCCCTTTAAAGTAATCTGTATTTACATTTCCTTTTATAGTACAGATTATAAACTAGTACAGAAAGTATGCCCAGATTACAACTACCATAGCGACACGCCATACTTCCCTTCGGGTTGAAGCAGACCATACATCTAAGACTGAGGATCCCAAGGAATAAAATAAATCAAATCAAATAAAAGAGGTCACATGACAGGGCTATTACCTCAAAGAAGAAGGCCACAACTTTTGCCCAGAATGTGTCTACATTTTGCTGCTGATATCAACTGGCTGCAAATATGTTAACGGAAGCCAATCTAATCATTTCTGCCCAGTCAGCTCCATTACATATCAGTCCAGTTGTAAATCACTATTTAAATGATGCCACATATGGTTTCTCTTTCTCTTTCCTTCTTCCTCTTTGCATCTACAGAGGTACCTCTTAAGATGACTTTCATCGTCTGATATGTTCAGGATCATCTATCATCAAGCAAAACAGATTAATTAGCTAAAGAATGGTTATGAAAATAACCAATGTTATGGAAATCTAAGTCTTGAATACATGATAATCAGTAATCCCCATTCATGCATTCCTTCACTTGAAGTAGCTGTACTGGTAAATATTACTGTGTAGGAGTAATTGCTTGTTCAAAACTGGGATGGGGGTGGGTAGCAGGGGATATGTGTGTGTTTAGAGTTCAGTAGTTCTCTTGATATGAACACAATTTAGGATAGTGACTTTTCTCCAGCACACTGTGGGCACATTCAAGGTGATGTTAGGTGGCTCTTATTCTGCAGGGGGGACCCTATTGAACAAATAAAGATGAGCAAACATTTGGAATTTACATGTTAACAGACCTGATGATTTTTTGCATCCTGATAGTCATCACTTCAGACAGATAGGTTCAACTTGGCAGTCATCCCAACTGAGAAGTCCTACAATCACCATGTAGGAAAGAAAAATGCCTGAAAGGCAACCTGTAAGTTGTAAATGTCTGTCTTATCTTTATTACACAATATTGTAACAAATTCAATATCCTAGTCCTCATTTGTATGAATGGTTTGTATTGTACATAGTTTAACCAGTGTTATTTCAGCTGCTAATTATTATTAACTTGTAATTGTCTCTTTCTCTCTCCTCTCTTTCTTCTGCTTATTATAGGTTAAAAACAAAACAAGGAAATGAGGAATCCATTTTATCAATGTAGCTGTAAACTCCATTTAAGAAGACAGCATTCTGTACAAAGCATATATTCAGCTAAATTATTGTTGAGAGCTATACACTTACAACATTTACAGTCTGTCTGTATTTAGACTTTTTCTTTCCAGGTGACAAATATTGAAATGTACATAAAAATAAAATACTGAAATTCAGTTTCAATATGCATTCTGTAGCCGGTGGTTTAAATAGCACGAGAAGACTGATTATTCAATGGGAGTATTTCTTTTGCAAGTTGATATATATGCTGGAGACTTTGATGTTTGTTGCCCCACACTGCTGACCACAAAAGTTGAGCCCTACAGATCAGGTTTCTTATCTTTATATGCAACTTTTCAATCAACAAATAAGTTACTGATTCTCAGTGATTTTCATAATAACTCCAGGGATCTGATGTCAAATTTAACATAATGTCAAGAGGTCACTGTGTCAGACTAAGGTTGTACCAATTTCCTAAAAATAGAAGTGAGATGCAGTGCATGTTGGAAATTTTGACCCTTGTCCTTCATTGCACCCACCTCTCAATATTTTTGACCTGGTAGGAGAAATTTGCTGGATGGGGAAACAAGTTGCAAGCAGAAAAATAGCAGGTAGGGAAGAGATCAGCATCATTTATAGAGATGCTTCTTTAAAAGATTCCAAGCATCATCTGCCATTATGACAATAGTTTCATATTTCTGATTTGGTCATGAGCCACAAATGAAATCTATAGCATCACATCATACAGATTGCTTCATAGTGTAAGTCATTACCTCAACTTAAGCATTTAAATCAAGAACAGGTGTGATGAAGATAGCTTCTGTTAACAATATACACAATCCTGTCCACATAATAATAATAAAAAAAATCAGTGTATATGCTTTCTTTTCTACTTTCATGGAATTCCAATAAAATGGGACAGGTTGCAACCCAAAGTTTATGAGTCAACTTCCCAGAATTTAAGTATGGTTCAAAGTGTTTATTGTGTCCATCACAAACACTATTGGCAAAATGTAGATTGGAATATTTTAATATACTTATAGGAGACCTATAGTACATCTGCAAGTATTCTATCATTCCAGTTGATTTAACAATATTTTTCTCTAAGTAAATTTGTCAATAAACGAAAGCCTAAAGAAAAAAGGAGAACCCATGAATAAATATGTGTAAAAGGGTTTCTAAACTTGGTTCTGCAACTACTGACCATTTTCTCAATGATTCATATATGTTATGATTATCTATGGGAGGATTAAAAAAAGTCAAATGATACCTTCTATCATATGCTCATGATTCCCATTGTTTGTTTACAGTTAAAGATCAACTATTAAAAATACATCAAATAAACATACATACAGACACAATATATTGTATAGGACATAATCAATTTAGTTGATCATTCTAGGATTTAACATTCTGTGGGCAAATGTTCTCAACCTGTGACCTATGGACTCCTGGAGGGTTGTGATGTCATCACAGACCACGAAAGCTGGAAGAAACATTTTATGATTTAAATCTTGAACTAAGTCTTGGGGGACCATGGCCATGGTCTGTGGCCACAAAAGGTATTTAAAGGAGGTCTGTGGTGAAGAAACAGTTGAGAACCACTGCCCTACTGAATTGACTATGACCTTAAAGTTTCTACAAATTAAAAAATATTAATGCTGTAGAAATAGAGAAAATTGAATACATAGATTTTGTTCTGACCTTATCCATCCCATCTTCTCTTTTTGGGAAGTACAACCAGTAGCATGCCAGTCAAAGACCAATTTAGCTCTTGGCCCTAGAGAAGTTGTGCTGTCTGTAGCTATCATTCAGGCTGGCTTTTCTTTGATTTCAACTAGTACATGGAAAGGTTATTTGGGCAATTAACGATGGCTTGTGCCTTGGATCATTAAAGTGTTATGTTGAATGCTTCTGCTTAAAGTGCTATGCAGCATGTAACTTCATTCCTCTACACCATGTGATATGACATTTAATGATCTATCTACTAATGACAACTGAACAAGACTTGTTGCCTTGTGTCCACAATAAAAAAGGATGGCGATTAAATATGGAAGGTCTGGCTTACTGCATGTAAAACTAATGGAGTTGTGTGGATTAGCATCTGAAAAAACAGGTGTATTATCAATAATTAAAGTGAAATCTGAGCAGAAATTTTCACCAAAAAAATGCTAAGAATATGTTGGAAGGTTAGGATTCAGTGTTGCAAAAAATCAAGGGTCAAAATCATTTGGAACTATAATAGATACCTGTTTCTTTTTATTTAGCTTTCAAACATATTTAATTGCAGTCACACAGTCCTCACCCTCTTTATCTGGAGGGTAGTGAGATTGGAAAGGTGATTTTACCTTGATCCATTCTCATAAACCAAATATTTCTATATCTATCTATATCTATCGAATATATGTGTATATGTAGAATGTACGTAGAATATGTGTTTGTGTGGGTGTATGCACACACACACAGCCACAGCCATGTATATATCTACATATACGTACATGTACACACATAGAGTGAGCTTTAGCTCCTCCAAAAGGTTGGCTTTTCTTTGAAGAAGTATTAGTAATTTATAATTGTTAAAACTTGTAGAGAAATTATAGACAGGATATCTACAAGAGAAGTCAAAAAGTCAAGATAGCAGCAGCAGGCATTCAGCTGAAGCACTACCCTTCTTATATGAATTGCAACATATGAAAAGGGTAGGATTTTGATTACCTGTTCATGTCCACCATCTTAATTTTTTGACTCCTATGGATGTGCCTGATTATAGAATATCTGAAAATTAAGCCTATTAACTGTTTTTAATTTATGTAATTACATTTAATTCAATTAACACAAACTCTTGTTGCCATTCCATCCCTTTCTTTGTATTGACCTTGCCTCTTTTCTAGAGTGCAATCTTTGGTGTGCTGCTGAGAAGCCAAAGGTGACTCTCCTGCCTGAAAATGTAGCCTTTCTTTGCACATTATCAAGTTATGTCAATAAAATGATGTTTCTAACAAAAGTCATTCTAACCTTCATGGAGTCTTATCTTAAGTGTTTGCTGACTTTCTTGTTTTATTGTTTTTTCATTTTATCTCAAAAGTTTGTTTTCCCTCTTGTCCACATCACCCCAGTATTGGTGGATTTCACAGCAATCATTATAAATACTAACTATAACTGAAAACCTTTTTTCTAATTTGAAAAAAAAAAACCTGCTTCAAAATAAGACCTTGGGCCACAGTGTTTTAGACAACATAGCGGATAAGCTACATTGTCTTATGCTCAGCTGGAATTCCACATTCAAAGCAGAGCAATAATTAATTTTCTGTATTTTTTTTAAAGGTATGTTCATTTTTGCAGAGGCTTGAACTTTCTTTTTTAAATACATTAGCCTCTTGTGGTCTTGATTTATGGATTCATTTTGTTAGCTAGAATAACTAGCCTGCAGTCTCAAAAACAAAACTAGTTTGGTGCAATATTTGTCTGAGTTAAACGTGCTAGACTGAGGTCTGAGAGTATATCTTTGTTTGATTTTGGATTATATTTAAAAGATCTTTGCCTTGTGTAAACGGGATGCTTTTCTAGTTAAACATACAGAAATAGAAGCTTTGCATATTTAGAACTTTCATCATACTCTGATGTTATTCAACTTCACAGTTAAACTTAAGTATCTATGCATCTTTTTAAATTTGTAACATGGATATATTTTTTTCAAATCTGTAGCCTTTTAGGGGTGGTATGGTGATAATTTCCTCCTACAGCTTGATCCTAATGTTTTTTCTCTGAAAATAAATTGTTCTGCTCTCCAATATGAACAGTGAGAACAATTAAGCAGTGGAACGGCTTGTCTTCAGCTTGTTGGTGCTTCATCACTGGAGGCTTTTAAGAAGAGACTGGACAGTCACTTGTTTCAAATTGTATAGTCTCCTGCTTGAGCCGGGGGTTGGAGCAGAAGACCTCC